TACTACAATTAAAAATTATTATGGCTCAGTGATTAAGCAGTTGAGATCTGAAATCAGATTATCCCAGCCATGGTATGGGATTTAGTAGGTTACTCAACTTTGCAAAGCTCATAATCCTCAGGTAGACAAAGGTACACAATAATTCTTCCTCAAAGGATTATTATCTAGGGTCAATTAGATTATGTACCCTTTTGTAGTCTGAATATACTCTGGCCCTTGAATTCATGCAGGAATTTAACCCCAAAGTCATAAATTAATGGTACTAAGAGGGTAGAAACTTAATACAATTAAAGGCTTAACATGAGGCCTTTGAAAGCGATTGGATTAGGACATTAGGGGGAAGTCCTATGATTGAATCCTGGTAGCTCTATAATAGTCCACATAAACATAGAACAAGTACACTCTCTGTCCCTTGCCATGTGTGGTTCTGCACTATCTCAGATCTCTGCCAGTAAGAACACCACCACCAGGGCCAGTGTTCTGTCATAGCAGGTAAAGATACTGCCTGTGATGCCAGCATCTCATAAAGAATCCATTTAGTCCTGGCTGCTCTACTCCAGTCCAGCTCCTTAATAATGGCCTGGGAAAAGCACAGGAACATGGCTCAAATGTTTGGGCCCCTGCCACCCTTGTGGGTGACCTGGAAGAAGCTCCTGACTCATCCCTAGATCATGCAGCCATCTGGGGAGTGAACCAGCAGATGAAAGATCCCTTTCTCTCTGTCCATATATCTCTGTAACTCTGACTTTCAAATAAATAAATAATTTTTTTTTTGACAGGCAGAGTGGACAGTGAGAGAGAGAGACAGAGAGAAAGGTCTTCCTTTGCCGTTGGTTCACCCTCCAATGGCCGCCGCGGCCGGCGCGCTGCGGCCGGCGCACCGCGCTGATCCGATGGCAGGAGCCAGGAGCCAGGTGCTTTTCCTGGTCTCCCATGGGGTGCAGGGCCCAAGCACCTGGGCCATCCTCCACTGCACTCCCTGGCCACAGCAGAGGGCTGACGGGGAAGAGGGGCAACCGGGACAGAATCCGGCGCCCCGACCAGGACTAGAACCCGGTGTGCCGGCGCCGCTAGGCGGAGGATTAGCCTATTGAGCCGCGGCGCCGGCCCTAAATAAATATTTTTAAAAGGTATTCTATCACCAGAGACCAAACCAATAAGGCCTACCTGATCTTGGACAGTGAACTTCCAGAATCATAAGCCAAATTAACCTCTTTCCTTGGTAAAGTGAGCTCACTCAGGTATTTTGGTATAATAATGAAAAGCTGGCTAATATATCCACAAAGCATTAAATAGTGCTGTACACATAGTAAGTGTCATTTGTTCTTATTCCTTAAATGTCTTCAGAGAGACCACCATTATGGAAGAGCAGGTAAAACCCCTGCTTGCAGTGCAAGCATCCCACATAGGCACTGGTTCAAGTCCCAGCCGTTCCACTTCTGATCCAGCTCCCTGCTAATGTGCCTGAGAAAGCAATGGAGGACAGACTCTGCACCAAATGGAAGACCTGGAAGAAGCTCCTGGCTCCTGGCTTCAGCCTGGCCCAGCACTGGCTACTGTGGCCACTTGAGGAGAGAATCAGCAGATGAAGATTTCTTTTTTTTTTTTTCTTTTGCCAGGCAGAGTTAGACAGTGAGAGAGAGAGACAGAGAGTTATAGACAGTGAGAGAGAGACAGAGAGAAAGGTCTTCCTTCCATTGGTTCACCCCCCAAATGGCCGCTACGGTTGGCGCACTGCGCCAATCCGAAGCCAGGAGCCAGGTGCTTCCTCCTGGTCTCCCATGCGAGTGCAGGGCCCAAGCACTTGGGCCATTCTCCACTGCCTTTCCGAGCCACAGCAGAGAAGTGAAGATTTGTCTATCTGTCCCTCCTTCTTTCTCTCTGGAACTCTGTCTTTCAAATAAATAAAATTAATCTTTGAAACCAAAGGTCTTCAGAAATGTTTTGAAATACTGCCATCTTTACTAGAAACACTATTCCATCCTTATATGGTAATACTTCCTCAGAAATTAACATATTTCAGTTTTGTGAAGGGATGGACCTAGTATTTTACAGTTGAAAAGTGACAAAGTCCACAAGTAAGAACCTGCTGCACAGGCTTTCTCAAAGGCCTATGCCAAGCTAGGATTGAGCTGGGACTAAAATACTTATTTTGACATTTTTAAATGAAGTATGCAAGGCTTTTAACTATCAGAAGTCAGCAAGAAGGGGAAATTGCATGAAAGTCTCAGACACTAGCAAGTGCTGAGACAGCAGATATTGTACAGTGACACAGATTAAAAAATTCCCTCAAGTCTCTCACCAAAGCTTTTCAGGAACAAGACACAAGATGGTGGCAGCCATTTTACAGATATAGCACATCTCTGTGGCCCACCAAACAAGAGCAAATGAAAATCTGTTCACTTATTGACGTGACAGAACTAAAACATACCTGCAATCAGATTGATAGTGCTGAAGGACCCCAAAAGAATCATACGGTCTCCTCATTCTTACAAAGCCTTTACGGTACAAGCATCATTTTCATAGCAACAATAAAGTAATTTAGGAAACAAATTAATATCATGCACATGTATCTGCATTAGTTGCATCCACTGCTGCATTTACAGTGCTCAAGTGAATAACCTTGCTGTCTCAGCCACAGCTGAATTACCCTGCAAATGATGTATCCTGGAATTTAAGTTTTATATTAATCTACTGAATGTATTTAATCACCAAATCCCACAATGTGCCATTTGAAAATGAGCAGCTAAGGAAAATAAGAAAATTATTTTAAGAGTTTAACCTAAAAATATCCAGTAAGTTCCAATTCCGTCCAACATCCAAACCTCTATTAATTTGGATAGTCAGATAAAAAAGGCACAAAGCCTGACAAAGATAGCTTAAGACTCTCACTACTGTCTCCATCTCAGAGTTGAAAAATATGTGTAAACAATGACAAAACACGTGCCTAGACAATATTCCCATCTCAGTCACTAAAATGTATATAAGCATGGAGAAAGAAGGAATTTCCACAAAATTATCCTTCATTTTCTAATCGATGTGACTCGATTTTTACAAAATAATATTGGTTCCATTTTCCTGCTATTGTTCTTTAAAATGACAGACAGAAACAAGATCAAAAAGAGAAGCTTAGCAAATAAGCCAAAAATTTTTCTAGCAAGTAAGAACACCTGAACATAAACAGAGAATCAGATTGATGCTCAGGGAAATTCATTCTGCGCAACACTGCTCACCAAAGCCACAGGTTTCTTTAGGGCCCGGGAACACATACTGTATTCTCCCACACTTGTCAAAAATCTAACCGTTAAAGTCCTGCTGCAATCGCTTCTCTGCCTTTTGACTAAGATCAAGTGTAAAGTGGTACTGGGTGCGGGCCAGTGTTGCAGTGCAGCAGTTTAATCTTAAACTTGCAATGCCAGCATCTCATATCAGAGCATAGATTTATCTCAGCTTCTCTGCTTCTGATCCAGCTTCTTGGTAATGTGCCTAGGAAAGCAGCATAGGATGCCCCAAGTACTTGGGCCACTGCCACCAATGTGGGAAACCCAAATGGAGTTCCCAGACTGCTGGCTTCAGCTTGGTCCAGCCCTGTCCACTGTGACCATTTGGGGAGTGAACCAGTCGAGGAAAAACCTCTGTCTCTCCCTCTCTCTGTACTTTTCCTTTCAAATAAATTAATATTTTTTTTTAAAATGTGGTATTGGGAAGCATCCTTGTATCATTCCTACCACATCCCAAGTTTTAATACAAGTCTTCATTAAGTAAATAGATCAGTCACTCATAGAAATGATGCCTTTCCTCTCCAAACACACACATACACACACACACATCACAATGCACACTCCTTCAGGAGAGCTCAGAGTCTCAAACTACAGCCATGCATTTCCAACAACACAGATCTTGTTAAGTTTAGGAATCACTTAGTCATCTGCTATGTGATTTTTTTTAAACCTTCTTTGGATTCTCATTTAGTTTAACAACATCTGAAGTTTCCAAATTATAGTGATTTTATGAAAGATCAGCTAATAAAATGTACCATTATTTTATCACATAACTCAACCTTTATAATAGAGACCCTGTTCATTTTTCTATCCTTTTCCTCTTAGCCACTCAAAATAATTTAAAGTAAAATTCAATCCAATTTCATCCCTATATTTGCACAAGTGTTAAATTCATTATATATCAGATGATTAGCCACTGCACATCAAATTTATAAAATTGAAAATAAATTAAAAAGGAAATCTCTAAACTGGTCTACAAGCCAAGTTTAGAAAGTAAATTTATTAGGAATAACATGCTTTAAGATCTCATTTGTAACTAGAAAATTTTGTTTGACTGTCTCAAATGTTAACAAGCAATACTTTCCCAAGACCTCGTATAATAATCATTAGATTACAATTTCCATCATTCATAAGTTTTATTAAGCTGCATAAATAAATTTGCCTTTTATAGGTCTGCATTGGCTTAAAATCTCAAAATTATTTTGGAAAAAAATAAGGTTGTGTTGAAATGAGCTTAACCATGAAATGAATGTAACAATTGAACATAATAATTTTTCTACTTGAACAGCATTTTGGAATTAGTATTTAAATCAAACAGTCTCTTACTTAAATTGCTGAACATGATCTAGGTTGGAAGAAAAATTATTCTTGGGAAGAAAAAATGAAAAGTAAAAGGAAGTTAGAGAGGAAAACAGAAGAGTTCAAGAAATTAAGGAAAGAATAAAAGGTCATGGTTTACTAATGTATCAATATCTTTAAATATATCAACTTTAGTTTCGGTATATCAACTCAAAACACTGTTATAGAGGTAACTTCTATGGTAATAGACCATCCCAGTTTTCCTAGGACTGTCCATTTCCAATGCTCAAAAGTCCTGAGATGTTCCTCAGGCCCCAGCAAACTGGGATTGTTAATTTACTTTTAAGTCATTTGGTGTTAAAGATGCATATGTTATCATTTTTGCTTCATATATGTAGTTGGAGAATAAAACACACAAACCTGAAATCTCTGTGAGCTCTGGATTTTGACAACCTTTCTCTCCCACTGATTTTGGAGCCCAGCTGGATTTTGCCATAAATGCTGAACAGCACCACTGCATGCATTTTGGAGTCCTACCATTAATTTACAACTCACATGACTGATGAAGTAATAAAATGTAATCTGCAAAAAGAAATTGATGTCCAATTACAATAAAGAAGGTACTCAACATGACTAATATTTAAAATGCTTTGTGCCTTCAGATACCTGGCAAGCACGTTGGTTATCGGTTGAAAGGAAAACTCTGCTTCTTAAGTATGAGGAAGTAGAATCCACTTTGGAGACCAGTGAGAGGAAGTGGGCTATAAAAAAAAGAGAGAGATTCAGTGCACTCGATTCTGAATCAGACACTAGTGATTAACTCAAGCCTACACCCATGTTAGGTCAATATAATTTTTTTAAGAAAGATACATCTAACCACATTATTTGTTTTTCTAAGTGTTATCATATATTTTGCTTCTTTATATTACTCTGTAAAATAACTAATTGTGATTATACTTCCTATACCATTATAATGGTGTATAATCACATTCCAGTGTATCATATCTACCATAGAAAGCTAAGACTTTGCCAAGACGGTATCAGGGGAAATATTTTAGTGGGACTGCCCTAAAAAATATGTAATTCAATCAAGAATTCAAAAGAGACCATCATTCTTTGTGATTTGGTTCAGAAATAGTTGAATCAAATAGCCCCAGCTTCACCCAGTATCATGGAAATGAACATTGAGTCTTAATGCTCTCCTATTTGCAGCAGTACCTACCCTGTCAGGGAATCCGCCACTATTTAGAAAACTAAAAATATGTAGAGCATTCCCTAGGCCTTCAAAGATTTCTTTTAGTGCTTTAAAGGGGTTATACTTATAATCTGAGAACCGTTGTTTTCTGCTTCTCTATTTGCTACTTGTCAAAAGGAATAATAAAGATGATTGATAATGAATGTGATGACATTTCTACCCAAGTTACTTAGTGTTTTTTTAAAGTTGAACTGTCAATAAAATCTAGTTTTCTATCATGGGGAGAATCTATAACAAAATTGCAACACCTAATAAAGTTCCTCTCTACTTCATTTCCAAAACTGTACCCTAATTATGAAGAAAGAGGTAAAATTAATAATTGTTTATAAATATAGAGGCACAACTGAAATTACTGCAATAACAGAAAACTGTTCTAAAAACATATTCCCTAGAATTATTATATAAACTTAATTTAGATGAAGGGTTGTGTATCATGGAGGTACAAGTCGACTATTATTACTTTGCTTTTGTATCAGGTAAACAAATGTTGTATGAGCGAACAATCAAATACATATTAAGAGCCATATGAATATGTTATTTTAGGTTTAAACATTATTATGAATACAAATGATAATAGCATTCAACATGCTCTAAATTATAATTTATAAATATTCCACTACTGGGGCCAGCATTGTGGCATAATGGATTAAGCCACCAACTGCAATGCCAGCATTGCATATGATTCTGGTTCAATTCCCGGCTGCTCTACTTCCAATACAGCTCCCTGTTAATGTGTCTGGGAAAGCAGTGGAAGATAGCCCAAATCCTTGGGCCTTTCCGCCCACATGGCAGATCCAGACGAAGCTCCTGGATCCCGGCTTCAGCCATTTTGGGGGTGAAACAGCAGATGGAAGATCTCTCTCTCTCTCTCTTTCTCTCTTTCTGTAATTCTGCCTTTCAAATAAATAAAATAAATCTTTTTTTAAAAAAATAAATATCCCACTACTAAAATGAATCATAAGAAACTCAGGAAAATATTTTCATTCATCAATGTAATTATTTAAATTAGTCATTAATTTTTTAAAAGCTTGGTTTTAAAAATCATACTTGACTTAATATACTAAGCCACTGGACAATAAAGTAACATTTTACAATAATATTTTTCAAATCTCAAATAAGTATTGAAGTGTTTAAACACTATGTTCTATAAATAGAAATCATGTTACTTGGTGCATGTTATGACAATAAATTATCCTGTGTTTTGTCAAATATTAAATAAAGTTAAATCTTTAGATTATAGTCATCTATAAAGTTTTACATTGAAAAATAAGTTGAGATCCTTTGAGTTGGGTTGTAGTAACAAACAACTTTCTTTTTGAGAACAGAAATAAAAGTGTTCAAAATGCATCCAATAGCAGTATCTGTTTTCTACCTTTAATTCCAACTTAGTGACAATACCAAGGATTTTTTTAGTGTACATTCCATATTACTTTGCTCCTTACTATATGAATATACAATTTCTTTAATTCACAGATAGAAATGTTCTTTAGAGAGCAATATAAGTAGATTGTTTTGACTTTCAGAAAACATTAGTCATCAAGTCAACTTCTAAGCAAAAGTTTGGCAGTCTAACTTTTCCCATATCCTTATCACCTCATCTAACACTGCCACCTTCTGGTTCTAACCATTGAAAGGAGACTATGATAATAAAAAATGGTATCCAACATTCTGTAAAACTATTCCTCTCACTGAATATTATAATTCACATATGACACACACACACGCATTATCCACGTCATGTCTTGTGAATCCATATTCATTTCAGTTTATTTATGATTCACAAATTCCCATTTTTGCCTGCATATATAAAAGCAAATGCTTAACTTTAACACATATATAAAACAATCTTGAGATAAAGTATTAATTAATTATTAAACTGACAAAACAGAATAAAAAGTCATGATTTCAGGTATCATCTTAATATTTTTTGTCAAAAGACCTTTAAAAAATATTTTTTCCTCAGTAGCTGCATAAATGTTGGAGTAAATCCCAACATGAACCAAATTTAATACCTAAAAAATGAGTATATAAAATATGAAAGCAAGAAAATCAGAGCTAAATCTAGTAAAGTGGGTAATGAATTCCACCAGCGTTGAGCTTCTGTAAAAGGTAAGGTAGAATTTTCAGTCTCATATTCAACTAGTGATAGGCAGCTTTGTAGTCTTCCACTTCCCAAATTTTGGGTAGCTAATGAGATTAAATGTGAGCAGGACAAACAAATCCTATTGCATGTTACAGACTAACCAATTGGCAAAGAGAATCTAAAAAAAAGAAAAAGGAAGCATTTTAACGGAGAGATAATACCAGTTCTCAAGCTCATCCCCCAAATATCAAACAGCGAGGATGGGTTATCAAAACAAGTTCCAGGGACCCATGTTGTGGAACAGCAGGTGAAGCCACCCCTCTGAGACACAGGCACCCTACATGAGAATGCCAGTTTGAGTCCCAGCTCAAAACAAGGTCCAAGGACTAAAGCCTAGGTTAAACTGTCAAAATATATAGAAAAAGGAATGTGTTCATCCCTGACGGATATAGGTCATTACAGCTAATACAAAGGAAATTACCATCCACAAACACCTTCAAGTTTGTTATATATATAATTTATTAAATTCTGTTTCCATTGAAATACAAATTTTGTCTCATACCCATTCTTAAACTCAATACAACCAGATAATATCTGCTTAAACTATACTTTATGTCTCAAAGGATACCCTCAAATAGTAATTGTTTATGGATTGTCAGCAACTTGTATAGGCATGCTGCCATAAAAACTTGTCTGGCTACTGTGACAAAAGACTAAGTGAATCAATTTAGATGACCACAAAATATACAATAAAACAAAGGGTATGTTAATAAAAATGCTATATTAAAGACCTCTGAAACTTTTCTCCTCTATAAAGTAATTTATAAACTGGCATAATATTTTCAAACTATGCAATTGATAAAGGGTTAATATCCAGAAACTATAAAGAGCCCAAGAAATTCAGCAACAACAAAACAGAGTCTAGTTAAGAAATGGGCAAAGGACTTGAACAAGCATTTTTCAAGAGGGGCAATTCAAATAGCCAACAGACACTTGAGAAAATGCTCAGGATCACTAGCTATCAGAGAAATGCAAATCAAAACTATATCAAGGTTTCACCTCACCCCACTTACAATAGCTTTTATACAGAAATCAACAAACAAATGCTGGCGAAGATATGGAGAAAAAGGTATCCTAGCCCACCGTTGGTTGGAATGTAAACTGGTACAGCCACTGTTTCTCATAGTGTCAGTTTCACTTCTACAGATTTCCTTTTTGGTGCTCAGTTAGTTGTCACCGATCAGGGAGAACATATGATATTTGTCCCTTTGTGGCTTATTTCACTCAGTATGATGTTTTCCAGATTCCTCTATTTTGTTGCAAGTGACCATATTTCATTTTTTACTGCTGTATAGTATTCTATATAGTAGATATCCCATAATTTCTTTATCCAGTCTTCCATTGTTGGGCATTTAGGTTGATTCCATGTCTTAGCTATTTTGAATTGAGCTGCAATAAACATTGAGGTGCAGATAGCTCTTTTATTTGCCAATTTAATTTCCCTTGGGTAAATTCTGAGGAGTGGGATGGCTGGGTCATATGGTAGGTGTATATTCAGACTTCTGGGGTATTTCCATACTGTCTTACACCATGGCTGCACCAGTTTACAGTCTCACCAAAAGTGGATTAGAGTACCTTTTTCCGCACATCCTCACCAGCATTTGTTGTTCGTTGATTTCTGTATGAAAGCTATTCTAACTGGGGTGAGGTGAAACCTCATTGTGGTTTTTATTTGCATTTCCATGATGGCTAGTGATCCTGAGAATTTTTTCATGTGTATGATGGCCATTTGGATTTCCTCTTTTGAAAAATGTCTGTTTAAGTCCTTGGAATATCTCTTAAGTTGGTTGGTTGTTTTGTTGCTGTAGATTCTGGTTATTAATCCTTTATCAGTTACACAGTTTGCAAATAATTTCTGCCATTCTGTTAGTTGTCTCTTCACTTTCCTGACTGTCTCTTTTGCAGTACAGAAACTTCTCAATTTGATGTAATCCCAGTTGGTAATTTTGGCTTTGGCTGCCTGTGCCTCTCGGGTCTTTTCCAAGAAATCTTTCCCTGTACCAATGTCTTGCAGGGTTTCTCCGATATTCCCTAATAATTTGATGGTGTCAGGTCATAGATTTAGATCTTTAATCCATTTTGAGTGGATTTTTGTATAAGGTATAAGGTAGGGGGGCTTGTTTCATACTTCTGAATGTGGAAATCCAGTTTTCCCAGCACCATTTGTTGAATAGACTTTCCTTGCTCCAGGAATTGGTTTTAGCTCCTTGATCAAATGTAAGTTGGCTGTAGATTGATTTCTTGTGTTTCTATTCTGTTCCATTGGTCTATCCATCTGTTTCTGTACCAGTACCAGGCTGTTTTGATTAAAACTGCCCTGCAGTATGGAAGACTTACTACTCGTTAACACAGCAATAATCATT